GAATTATGAGCCAATTCAATTTATCTGAGCTTTCCCATCCCAGCCAGTGTGTGAGTTGCGTTGCCCTTACGCTTGCCTTATGCTTGTCCCATCATGGAAGACCTACTCTAAAAGGACGATGCGAGTCTCACTACTCCTGACAGATAGCAAAGACTCTCCGCTCACTCTTTCTGTAGTTCTTGGAGTATTTGGAGAAGACTAAAAATCCTCATGTGGGTTTTACGGTTCAGATTTGGGGGAAGGATAATGCTGGGAATCTCATCAATACGTAAGATGGGAAAGCTCGTTTCAATTTCCTGTTCTGCCGAACTTCCCGGGGTGCTTTGGGAAGTGCCTTAAAGCTGATTACACACAGCTGAAATAAAGCCAGTGCTGGCCATTTACTTCTGCTCTTCAATCAGGCAGTCTGTATCACAGTTAGAGTTTTTGAACAAGCACAAATAACTCTTCCCAATCCTGCAGTGTCACAGTTAGATGGAAAATCCTAAAGATTAAAAGTTGCTCAGGTACTTACAACAGTGGGTACCACATAAGGCCATGAGATTTTTCTTGCTTCCTTGTTCATTATTCTAGCATCTGTCGTTGAATGGTGCATTTTATAATAATTTCACCTCTCGGAGGGATTTGGGGTGCAATCTTGCAGAAAGTCACTGACTGCAGGGGTTTTGAAGACCTAACTCTTCTTTTCTTACAGAAATCTTTTTTCCATCATCAGTTCAATGGGACATAATGTGGAGCTGCTCCTGAAAGGAGCCAGCTCGTTCTTTCTTTTCGTTCAGATTAGCATTCATGTAGCTGCATGATGAACCAGTCTAGGAACTGACTTGGTCAAAAACTTTTATTTTGTCATTATTCACATAAATAAAATAAAATAAAATAAAATAAATTTAAAATTACATAGGCATTTTATCTTGGTTATGTATCTCAAACACTTGCATTTATACATGAATGGTTAACTATTTAATTCTTATAAACTTTAAAAGAATAAATAAAATAGTCTTTCCGATAATGAATACCATATTGACTGAGATGTGGTTTATGCCTTTTTAGAGAATAAAGCATTTATAAAAAGCATACTTTATAATAAAAAAATGTCCATTGCTGCTACATCACATACAAACATTTCTGAAATATCACTTAAATTTGCACATATACGTGACACTTTACTGAACCCAAATAATTATTGTTTTTATTCTTCCAGCTAAGAGTGTTGCTGGCCTAGATAGAAGGGCGAGGATTATTCTCAAGCAGCACAAAGTATATGATGATTACCTCAATCTGCCAAAATTTTTGTCTGGAACAAGTATACTGCAGAACGTACCCCAGATCAGCACACTGTGTTAAGTTCTGTTTGGCATCGCTTGATTATGTCCATGACAGAAAATGTTCACTGCCACCTCCCTAATGGCTACAAAATGGAGGTATCATTTTTGAGTGACTTATTCTGCCTGAAGGATGGAGTAAGTTTTGTCGTCTAAATGATTCTTTTAAGCAAAATGGGAAGGGAACCATTCCAGCTAGTATTTTGCAGTACGGAGTATGACTTGCCTGGGCTTAACCTCTCGGGTGATTCTGTTACCTCTAAACTGGAAGAAGTGCTTAAGAAATGTCTCATACCTGCCCTGCTATTCAATGTCTCCTCACAGAGGAAGTCTTTCAAATCTCACAGAGGTATCGTGAAACACCATTTATCAGTGCGTGCAGAGCTTTGAGATCCTTGGCAAGGGGGGAACAAAAGGATTGTAAGGTCCTTCCGTTAAAGATATTTTTAAATATCAAAATAGGGATTGAATTCTAGTTATATATGTCAGCAAATACAGCAGAAAAGAAACTAAACCTTTTAAGTAAAATAATTTGTTTGTACTCTGAAAAAAAGCAATTTGTAGACCTGCTTCCAGTGGACTGTTTCAAGTCCTAGCCGCACCTGACTTCCCACCTTCTAAAGCCCCTGCAGCAGGAGTCAGGAGAGTCTCACAAACACAGGGGATGTGTTGGACGCCGCACGTGACTCAGAGCTAACTGAAATTCAATAATGAATGACAGCAGTCAATCCCACTCGGCAAACAATAATGCAGAAGGGAAGAGGGAGCTCCTTGTTGACCACGCACCCGAGGGGGCTCAGGTGCCCTATTTCTAACCAACAAGAGCTAACACATCCAGGGTTTGGGAGCCATGCATGCACCTAACCCAATAAAACAATAAAAACCCAGCTATACCACACTTTTCTCCTCAAATGTCTTCCAGTTCATCAGCAGAGTGGGTTATAAGGGTGTGATATTCCCACATCACAGAGAACCTCCTCTCTGGTAGTAATTATATTGCCTCTGATCTCTCACACGCTGCCTCAGTAGTCTGTCCCTGTACTCGGCTTCCCTGAGATTTGGGATGCCGAGGGCTGTTCAACTTGTCTTAGAATGGGAATGAGGAGTTATTTTCAGGTTTCTGATACTTTTAAGGTGCGTGGTTTATCTGAAGCGTGACTTCAATGCATGAAGCTATGGTAAATCTCAAAGAACATCACAGGTAATAATTGTGATTAGAGCCTAAAACCCAGCACATTTTTCTGGGGGAAGGCTTTGAGCAAAAGCTCATTATAAATACATACCTACCCCATGTGGCTTTTGAAGAATGACAATATGCTATCACAGCAACAAGGAGCCACTGTGACTGCTTTCCTTAACTGCTGTGTTTTTCTATTTTTTGATGCAACTCACATACAAAGATTAGATTCTAGTTTCGGTATTATGGCTACTTGAAGTATCTTTTGGGAAGGGATGTTGCGAATACCTGTGGAAAAAAAAAATTCTGCTTCTGTTATGTAATGTATTTCACGTAAGAATAAATCACGAAGGCTCTTCACTTTTAACATTTTTTTTTTTCTGTGTATTGATATTTGTGAAGTCACCCTTTCTTAGGACAAGTAGTTAAAACTATTTTTCTTTACTGTGAGGGCTGATTCTGCCAAAGGTTAATTCCTCATACATGAGGACTTACAGGCAGATCCCAAGAAGACTTTAGATTGACCATGGATACTTAACTGGTCAGACAATGAAGAATTGTGAGCAGAGCACATTTTCACATCTGGACAGGGAAAGACGAGGGCCTTGTGCCTCAGACATGGCCAGGGTTACCTGGCTGCTGAAGGACTGTTTGTCGGATGTCAGTTTATGCACTCATGTCTTTATCTTTGTCATTTCCCCCAGTCTCGGCTGTCATTTTACCGGTTATTTAAAAACAAGAAAATCCAGCTTGTTCCCTCTCTCTTCCCAGTCTTACTGCAAGTTATGAAATATCTCAAAGTTGGAAGTAACAGACTGTCTTGACAGCACAAGCACTTTTCTTCCCTCTTTTGTCTCTCATGCTCTGCTGTGGAGTCATTAAGACACTACGGGAGAAGGAAAACAAGGAGACCTCCAGTTGCAAGCAGCAACACCTAGGAAGCAGGAAACAGAGGAAAAACAGCAGAAAGGAAAGTAGGAAAAGGAGTCTCCCTGTTTTTGTAGTTGATTCTAGAGTTAACTGAGTATTTTTTCTTTTTTTTTTTTTTTCCTTCCCCCTATTCTTCTTTTTTCTTTCCCATGTTTGTCCATATAACTTCACATGTTCATTTTGGAACCGCTAATGATTCAGCAGCAAACTTCAGTGAAACAACTTCAACCAAAACGCAATAAACAGGTAGGCCAGTGATGTTAAGAGGATAATTGAGAGCTGTGTTTTTGGCAATTAACAGATTGAAAGGAAAGGAGATGGATGGAGCTTGGTTAAAAAAAAAAAAAGAAAAACAACAAAAAAACCCAACCCTGTGATGTTATGGCTGGTGTTATTTAATTATTTCCAAGTTAACAATGCAAAATGAGGGTACACTAAATATAAGCCCTCATCGTTAATTTTCAAGCCTGTCCTGATCTACTTGCGCTGGAAAACCTAGAATCAATGGGAATGAATCCCAGCAGCGGTCCAGTTACTCCCACAGAAGAACCAGCTGTAAGAAAGGAGGGCAACGTGCTTTAGAAGGCAGTGCAACACAAAGTAACGCAATCGGAGACAAAAAAAAAAAATAGGAAAAAAAAAAAAGAGCGAGGTTTGTTTTCTTGTCTGCCTGCATCCGGAGCTCACTTTAAATGACAGACTTTTCTTCTCTCTGCATTTCAATTAGACTGTGCCAATGGGCAAGCGGGGAAAGGCATATTAATGAGGCAGCCAGGGTGGGCGTCGGCGGTTATTCGTTCCCACGGCGGACCCGGGAGGGCGCGGGGGCTTGTTTGGGTGATGCCCTATCAAGCACCTACTTAACAACCGCTGGTTGAAGAGAAGGGCCGCGGAAAATGTGGTTTATCCTTCCGGGGGGCGGTGGTGGTGGT